TGTTGTGTTTAATACCAACACCAGTCATCATATAATCTTAACTAAATATTTCTATAAGAAACTAAAAAAATATTTTTGTAATATTAGATAAATTCTTATCATTTTGAGAAAGTTATGTTATTTAAAATTATTTATGTTATTACTATTTACATAATATAGTTCAAGTAGGAATGTTTTACTAAATGTATTGACATTTACCTTACTATAATGTAGATTGTAGGTACAAACATAGCATTCTGCAGGTATTGTTTATAGTGACAATTTAACTTACAAAGTTATTGTAATAATTAATAAAAATATTCCTGTAAAAACATTAAAAGGAAAAAATACCTAGTTATAATATCTTATAAGTCCAGCCTGGCAAACTAAAATTTTCTGGAAAAATTTTTTTAAAGGGCCTTTTATCAAAATATTAAAGTCCTTATAATTATTTTATAAAAAACTTTCGGTAATCCAAGTTTGATGGAGTCTTTTGAACTTGTTCTGAACCGGTATTCTATCCTTTGAAATCTTATTTCACTGTGGCTAAAAAGTTAGATAGTGCAATTTAAAGTCATTATACAATACTAAAAAATGTTTATATATATATATATAATGAAAAGGGAAACGACCCTGGACAGTAAAGCCTCAGAGAAATAACGTTACTTAGAACCATCAACATTTATATTCTAGTTTAATTTTACATCATAATAATATTTAAATACTTTTGAATCTCCTCGTGTTGTGATTTATAGTAATTGTATTTGGATACCTAAGCGTGTTCATGACACCATTAACTATGCCAAATAAACTCTTATTTCGTACAAAGCATTGTTAAAACTAGTTTAATATAAGTGCTATATACGATTTACGAAGTAGGTATACGAAATAATTTTATAACTAGTATTTCAAATGTAACGCTAAAAAAAATAATTCATTTAGATAATAGGTAATTCATTTCGGTGACTTTTTGACAAAATAAATACAAAAATAATGAGAATAATTGAGAATTATCGTACCCAAATGTAAGGTTGTTAGTGTAGTACGATGGTTTTTGGCGGGAGACATTTTGTCAGATCATGAAGATAATGTATTGTCGAATGGCTTTTTTGTCGAGTGGCTATTTGTCAGGTGGCTTTATTTCGTGCTTCGGTTGGTAGTCAGTATACGTATTACAATTATGAAATAAATAAATTAAATTATAATAATAAGTAATTATTTAAGCAATTATGGCAATATTTTAAGTTTATATATAGATAAGATACAAGTGGTTTTCAACTCTTTTCATGTAACCCCATTGGCAACTAAATTTAAACACCGCTTCTTCTGAATATTGAAATAATAAACAATCTTAACTGTATTTTTTAAAATTTTTTCTTTTATTAAAAAAAAAAAAAATACAGTATGCCGAAAAATAGTAAGTCATCATACATGTGAATTTGGAAAAAAATAAGCATTTTCTGCATGTGTTTGGTGGAGATAAGGAAGTATGATTAAGTTAGGTTTATGAGTAAAATATTTAAATTACAAATTAAAATATTTAACTTCTATTCAATATTGTGATATCACAAAAAAAAATATTATACAATCAATTATCAATAAATCGTAATAGCAAGTTTATAGATATTTTAAAGTAGATCGGAACGTTACAAAACGTTCCATATCATCACGTTATTATTGTTAGCTATTACGAATAATATTGATATTTCATATAAATCAACCGTTTCGCGTGTTCAAGATAAACCATTTTTTTTCCTACGTAGAATTTGTAAAAATCTTAGAAAAATTTCCTGGGAAGGGAGGGGCTACAATCCCCAAACCCCACCCCTAGTTGCGCCACTGTAAATATAACACCAGACAAATGGTTTAACGGTAAAACAATTTTTGAAGAATGGACGGAGAATTAAGGAGTATAATTTATACAGAAAATTATTTAATTTCACTCAGTTTTCAATCGAAACTTTAGAAATTATAAAAATGTTATTAGTTTTAGCTACGGAAGAAAGTTTTAGAATAATTAAATAATATAATATTTATTATTGAAATTGATTGTTGTAACTGGTAAAAATCAAAAACCATAGTTATCGTTTTACAACCTTTGAATAAATTTCGAATACAAAAATATATATATCAAATATTATTAGTCAAACTATCGAAAACAAATATTTAAAACAAGAATTATTTATAACTTAAGAGCAAAAGGAAGATTTACTTTGAAAATATAAGAGAACTTAGTATTTTTACTTATTTTGTTTGTAAAATAATTCGTAAAGTTGAAAATTCTGTAGACAAATATTGTATCATTTTTTCATCATAACACAATTTAAAATAATTAGTAACATTTGTGCGACAGCTTAGAAAACAAAGAAACCAACAACTATCGACCATGAGATGAGAAAGTTTCGAATGACAAGTCCCTTAGTCAAACTTTGGTTCCCCGCGGTGGTCGTTACTCGTTGGGGTCACGGTTATTGGCGTAGCAGTCCCCGTCGAAATTTTATGCTCAGTGGCGTCTTCGGCTCGAATCTGCTGTTGATCGCCGCCTGCATCGAATATCACGTTTGCGCTCAGTTCAGAGAACACAGGACAATCAGCCAAGTGCAAAAAGTATCTATGGTTCGACCAAAACGTTTTGGTGTACTGTGCATTCGTCCAACAACAACCTGTATCGTGCCAAACGAATTCGTATTAAAACTGTGTTCAAGTTATGTGAAAAATAAAAAAATTACTATCGGCGGGTGTCTCCAATGAACGGGCACTCTTCCGCAGTAAGTCGGCGGACGACGGAATTTTGTCCACCACTGTACATTCATCATTACTATTTTATTTTAAGTTTTATTAAATGTAATTTGAATCGCGTAAAAAATGTAAACGTTGAAATTTCAATGGGGGGTTCCAAACCCAAAATCCCCCTCCTTGGGTACGCCTCTGGTGAACATACTAATTACTTTTCGAACTGTATATTATATTAACTTATTTATATTATTGGCTACATCCATTTTTCTGTAATTATGCAAACCACCGTTTCCAATAAGTCCCAAATATCAGTACATTTTAGTAAAATAATTGATATTGCCTTAGGAAATAATATGTGGTATAAATATAAATATGGTATAATATGTTATATAAATATGTAATCCTATTTTATTAATTTATTTATATCCACTTGTTATATAAACTATTATTAATTGTCTTGCTATAATATTAAAATAAAAAATTAAAAATTAAAAAAAAATTATAAGTAAAAGTAATATTATGTATTTATGTATTTACTTATTTAACTTATAAATATTATTATGTAATATCTATATACCTACCTACTTATAAATATTATGTATATTTATATTTTAATAAGTTATTGATTTAAATAAAATTAACAAATGCTTACATAATTATATATGCGTTTATAAAAAATATTCAGTTTTTTAATGAGTTTTTTTTAAATAAAATACTTAAGGGCAAATTTTAAAATTTCGCCGCGGGCACAATATATGGTTCCTACGGCCCTGTCAGAGAGTGAATATTGACAATTTTGTCCAAATTTACGTAGAAATTCATTATCGTAAGTATCCAATCAAGTATATACAAATTATCTAGGAATAAATTTAATTTCTATTAAATGTAGGAACTAATAATGCATTGTTGAAAAGTTGTTAAAAATTAATTCATTGTATCGATATATTTAAATAACCTTGATTGGTTGAAGTTTGGAAAACTATTTACCAATGTTTTGCAAACTTGGTGTGTATTTTTTATCATATTCATACGTATAATAATGTGATGATAGAAGGGGCCTTCGAATTAATTTGTCCCCGTTCCTAAAAATCCTCAGGATGTCACTGACTACATTTATTTAATATACATCATATTCATAACAATAGTGTATATAGGGGTGGTGCCTAGTGAGCTACGCCCCCTCCCGAATTTTTTAAAAACCTTAAAAATTATTTTAAACGTATGTTATACTCGTATTTTAATGGTGCTTTATGCTTATTTAGAATTTGCGTCCAACGTCAAATCGTTTTGGGAAATCTGTAAATGAAATGTAGATAAGTACCTACTGTGTCTTATTAGTAATTCTTAGATAGCAGTGGTAATTTAACTCTGTCTATAGTAGCCCCTCCCGAAAATATATTCTATGTACGCCACTGATAGGTACATAATAACTTTTATATTAGTAATATTATAAGCATTATTTTATGGACTATGTTAATGGTTTATATTATTAGTTATGTTTTAATATTTTCTCTATCTTATAATTTTAATGAAGTTCATGCTCAAGTTAGTAAATATTTTTAATATTACCAAAATGAGTCATAAAAAGGTACATGTAGTTAATGGTTAATCGAATAAAAATTAGTCGAATAATAAAATTAGTCAAATAATAAAATTAGTCGAATAATAAAATTTAAGTCGGTAAAAATTAGTCTCTTCTGCTCATCACTAGTCGGAATGTTTATACACTCCGTGACTAACAATAGTGAATAGTTCAAGGTTAAAAGCTTACGTAGAATATTTTAGTGTCCATGTATATATGGAATAGTATGATTCCAAATTTATATTTATTAAGCTTTTACTGTTGATAAAACTTTACCAACTAATTGACTAAAAATTAATTTCGTTGTAAATAGATACTTATCTACATAGAACTATGTGGACATAATATTTGTATACTTCTAAATGTATGGAATATATTGTGACATACAAATCTATTATAGTTTCATCAGTAATTGTATGTTAATACACAAAATAAGTTAAAATTATTAATATGTCATTAAAATGTTGGATCATATAATCTAAAAAGTCAGATTCAAACCATTAAAGAAAAATAATAATCTATAACAATATGTCACATGCATTTTGAACTGCGACAGTGCGACGGTAACAGGTGTCAGAAGACAGTATTTCGTGCAATTTTACATTTATCATTTCTATTATTATTCTGTTGATAACAACTATAAAACATATATGATAACAATATTGAACATCTACACGAATAAACTTAATTTTAAAAAGTAGTAAATAATTGTATTTATAATGTAAAAATAATTAAATCAATTAAGTACATCAATTTTAAATTTAGTTCTCAAGGTTATACTTGCAAATGTTGGTGAACCAAACTTTTTCAGTAATGTATTATATTGTTATATATATATATATTTATTTTTAATTATTATCCTGCATAGTAATTCTTAATTATTATTTATTCAGTTTAACTCTTCCAACGTCCTTGTTTTGATGTATATTTGATACTTCTATGTTTAAAAAACATTTAAATAAATTAAAGCCTAAAAAACTGAACTAATATGATACGATGCTCAATTTTTGGAAAACAATTCAATCTAAAAAAAGTCCAACATTATCAGCTAATATCAATAATGTTGGATTGAGTCTTACTGGTGATGGATTAATGCCCCTTAAAGATTTTGAATATGACGAGAAAGGTTGGTAATCTTTGTATTCTTTTTATGAACTATATTAATTAAGGCTTTTCATTTTTAACAGATCTTTATGGTTTGGAAAAATGTAGACTATCATTGTATTTTGATGAAGCATTGATGTTAGATAGCAGTGCACTTTTATCTATGTTCAGGCAATTTTTAGACCATCGAAATTTATTACCTCTATACCATTTGTACATGGCATTATTGGGTCGTTCAGACATTGAGGATGAAGTTTTACGTCAAAATGTATTGAGGAACATCCTAATTCATCGAATTCATTTTTCTGATAAATTAATATCAAAAATTAGTACTCAGAGTGAACATATAGATATAAATGATTTCAAAGAAGTTACGGATAAATTTCACATTATATTACATGAGTAAGTATAATATGCTTGTGAAAAAATCATAAGTTATTATTATTATTATTATTATTATTATTATTAGACTCCATATTCATAGAGGTAACTTAGTTATATTAATAAATTACTAATTGTATTTATACATTACTGTTATGTATATTTTTTAGATATTGGAATAGTTTTGTTCAAACTGATATGTTTTGTAAGTATCAAGTAGATGTTTTAACTGGAGGACAAGTTACACTTGGTGATATATTGCTTTGTAATGGACTTCTTTCATATTTCATGGAGGTATTATAATAGTTTTTTTAACATTATAATTTTTAATATAGAAATTTAAATATTATTTGTGTCATATTAAGTGATCTAAAATTTAAACTTTTTTTTGAGTATAAATTTTATCTTTTACTGTAATTTCAGAATTTAGATTCTTATTTATCTAACTAAATTGAAAGTAGTGTACATTTTTTATAATTTTAAATAATAAATATGATTTTATTTTTAAATAGGATTAAAAATATATTATAAATCTAAATTAATAAAAATTAATAATTAAATAATTTCATTAATTGTTTAAAACTTAGTTATTAAAAAAAATAGTAGATAGCAGATATATTATAAGACTAGAAAAATCATAATTTGAGTCACTTAAATATGCACATAGTGTATTCATTACTGATCCGTATTAAAGTGATCATATTGTTTCTCTTAACTCATGCATATTTACTATCAATTTTACTTCAAAATAATTCAGTTTTATTAATATAATATATTGTTATATTTAATAATATAAATAATATAATATACTTCTTGTTATGTTAAAATATTTATAATATGAAGTAATATGTCCTTATTGAGTGTATTTAAAATTTATCATATAGAATATATTTTATTTTAGTATAAAACAAAATAAATAAGATTTAACCATAAAATAAAATATATTTAAAAGTTGCAAAAACAAAAAATATGCCTATAATCATTATTTTATATGATTCACAGGTGATATAGAATTGTTCATGCACAAAGTTAATTTGACTTGGGCTGGTAAAAAATTTTTTTTTCTCAAAGATTTTTATTCTTATAAAATTTATTTATTTATTTTTAAATTATTTTTCATGAGTTACTGAAAATAAATTAAATTTAAAAATGTTGAGGAGATTCACATATCATACTTTACAGAACTAAGACTTAAATCATCATTATTGACCTTGATTTAAATATTATGAGATGATAGGAGATTTACTTGATTGACTATATTAACTTTAGTTATTAACTTTATGACTATCAGCAGTTAATATTTTAAACCAATTTAAATATAATTATAAATGCATTGAAACCAATTATCTAAATCAGAGTTATTATGTTAAATTGTATTTTTTGAAATTTGGTAGAAATGTTTATTTAATTGAAAAATTATTATGTATTTATATTAATATTTACCTAACCTTAGGTTAGCTTAGTTATTATTTACATTCTAATTTATAATAAATATCTTGTCATTTCTTTAATTTCTTCATATGTTTAAGCTCTTATATTCGTTGTGAATTTTCCTGTTGTAATAATTTCTTAGGTGCTTGGTCATTCCTGCAGTCATGTCTTTTATTATGATACTATGAAGCCCTTCTGAATGCCTATGTGAATGTTCATTACATTATATTCTTATATCGATGAATCCAATTAAAATATAAGGTGTATGAATTTATAATAAATATTCAATTCACCCTAGTACATTGCTATTATCATGAGTTTTTTATTTGCGATGATAATACACTTTTAATAGTTTAAAATTCAACATTATATTGTTATTGAAAACCAATACTACAGTTTAATAATTTTAATGAATGATCTTAATTTTCATAGTTCCTTGATAGTGAAGGCTGTAGATCTCTTGTTGAATTCTGGTTAGCAGTTACAAATTTTGAACGCTGTGTTGAACAGTTTAAAAATACATCAACCGACTATGAACAAGCCCAAAGTGATGCTATTTGTATTTATGAAAAGTAACTGCATTTTTTGTAATAATGCTATATAATATGTCATAACTTAATATTCTTTATAGATATTTGTCTCTACAAGCAACATGTTCACTTGGCTTTAGTGACCAAGTAAGAATTACTGTTGAAGAATCTATATGCCCAGCTGACATACATAGCCAAACTGTTGCAACAATAGGGCAATGTTTTAAATCTGCTGTTTTAGTAGTTTTGACATTTTTACGTCAAAGATGTTTAATACCATTTCTATCATCACAACATTATGTACGTTATTTGTCTGAATTAATTAAAGCTGGAAATTCTTACCAATCTTTATCTCAAGACAATGAATCATCTAGTTCATCTGTTTCTGAGTATAGTACCAATTCAAAACGATCAATGTCTTCTCTTTTACCATATTCAGCTAGTACAGATTCATTATGGAGGAAAAGGCAGCAAAGGTAATATCAAAATATTCAAAATTATTATATTCTTTTGAAATTTGTTCTAAATTCTATTAATGAGCTTAATAACTGATAAAAATTGTTGGAAGATAATTATTTCTTTTTAAAATCTTAAAATACAAACTTCTTTAACTATTTTTTTTAATTTATTTTATACTAATTTTTTTATATTATATTACTGTGGAACCTTGATAAATAGAATAGGTATGTGGCAAAAAAAAAAAAATTGAGTTATTGAAATTATTTTACTATACAACACAAAAACTTTATTTTGTAATTATATTTAACTATTCCATGTATATTATATGTATGTATTTTTTATAATTTTTTAAAAAAGTATTCCATATTAAAATAAATATGTAAATAATAAAGAAAAAAAAATAAAGTAAGATTATTTTTGTAAGAAATTGCATATTTTTGATTCTATTTTATTGTATGATATGGATATATATGCAGTTTTTAATTATGTTGAGCATGGAAAAAATTTTACTTAGTATTTCTGGTTGCTTGCAATTATATTTATCTATTACTTGTAAGCCATCTAATGCCTGGACAAAAGTAGTTGAAGGTAAAAATAATTTCACATCATTATCAATATTCGACTACACCCCACTTAACTCTTTAGGCATTTCTTTATTATTTATGAACATACACATTTATACATACATTTATTATATTATTTCAGTAACTTTTGGTATGAAATATAAATGTATGTCAAAAAATTTGAATTATGAGCCAAAATTCAACTCAAATGATTTAGCAAAAAACTCGAATTAGTGATATTCAAATTATCAAAAAAAATGTATCATACATATCATATATTATAATGCAGGGGCCAAAGCATTCCTTCAAGTAATCAAAAATATAACTTCTAAATAATCGAATTATCAAAGTTCCACTGTATTTAAAAGTTTAGTATCTATAAAAAATATTTTCAATTCATCTTAAGAGTATAAATTAATAATATCTATATAATTTATTTACAATTAAACAAGTATATGTAAATATTATAATTTACAAAATTAATACAAATTAATACCATCATTAAGATTATAGTACATTTCAAGGGCATACCAAAGTGGGAGGTTTTCGGGTCCGGACTCCCCATTGAAATTTCTACATATTCAACGATTTAGTTGTAAATTGTATAATAATAATAAATAGTGTAATAGTGTAATTTAATTTCCCATTATCAGATAAAATAAAAATTTTGGACTCCCTCCCCCATAAAAAATTCCTGGGTACACTCCTGGTACATTTATTATACATTGATTTTATTTACTTAATATATTATTATACTTGATTTTTATGGGTTTTTAAATTGTATCGATATGCATTAAAATTTTTCTTGTATTTTATTTAAAAGTGGATTAAGCTTTGGTAGAGTTGATGAGTATGGACGTTTTGAACGAAATATAGAACCAGATCCCGATAAAAATAAAGGTACTTATTGATAGTTTGTACTTATTGATAATTTATATTAATAATATATGTAATTTTCATTATTTATAGAATCTGGTATTAGACGAATGATGAAAAAATTTGTGAATAATGATGGTGTAAAAATACAAGAAGATATGGCATGGCAAGTAGCTGAAATGATTGTTAAAGATGTCACTAGTGTGACAATGGCTAATAATGATGAAGACTATGGTGCAGAATAATATATTTATATATAGCTATGGATTATGTATGTAATTTTAATACACAATTAACAAAAATGATGAATTATTATTACATTTAATAAACTCTGTGTAAGTTACGCACATATTGTAAAACATTTACATAAATTAGTATTTTTATATTCATTACCAGTGCTTGACTTAGCAAAATGAAAGAAAGGGGAGTTTATTTACTTTAAAAAAATTAGCGTCCATGAAACTTATTAAGCGTTATAATTATAATGTAATAATAATAGGGGGCGCTAAAATTTCTGAAGATTAGTTGGAGTACTCTGTCCCCCTGGGTCCCCCCTCCTTATCAAGCACTGTTTATTACAAATATTTATTATAATTTGTTAAACTATTAATTGTTATATGATTAAATATTTAACTATTAAGATACTGTATATTAGAATCAATTTTTATCTTTAGTATTTATATTATTTTATTAATGTATTCTTTAGGTTCAAAAAATTATATTATTTTTATATATATATACATATATATATATATAACTTAAAATCTCAAATTTAACTATTAAATATTTTAGTTTCATTACATAGAGCTACACTAGTAATATGTGATGATTATACATAAAATTTAGTTAACATTTAATTAAAAATTGTATTATATTGGAATGAGAAGTATATTAGATTGTGATATCAAAAACTTTAGGTCAGATAGATCTTGATTAAAAAACTTTTTTTTATATTTCCAAGTTTTTTAATTTTTTATGAAAATACCATATTTACGATTGTGCTATTAGTTATAAACTTCATTTAAAGAAAACATAATTTGATAAATTAATTTCTTTTGGTCTCTAATAGTTTTTTGTATATGTTAAGATTATTTTTGTAAATGCATATTTTTAAGTAATGAAGACAAAGTTTGGAGATACCTACTAGATTTATACATACAGAATTATTAAATTTATGTACAAAATATAAATGTGTGTATTTAATATAAATCAAATTAATTTATACTGCATTTGAAGGGCTTGTAAAAACTATAAAAATAAAAAATTTAAAAATATATAGGACTATAAAAAATTAATTAAATACAACAAAAAAGTAAAAGGTATCCAAACAAGAAATAAGATCAATAATTAGTATAAATACAAAAAATAATAATTATAGTATTACTTAAGAACAAATAATAAAACAGAATTCAAGATTGAAAATAATAATATTTGGTTTGTTGAAGCCTTAGAATCAGCTTGCATTTCAGGAGAATCTTCTTGCATTGCATGAGATGAATCTGCTTGCATTTCATGAGAAGGGATACGGTTTGAACTTTCAAAAGCATAAATACTGGCAGCTTGTGTATTATTGTATTCTAAATATTTATGTCCAGCATCAGTCTTTGGTATCACAACTGCAGGTATTAGTTGCCAATCAGATACAGAGGTTGATTCTTCATCAAATACAGGTACAGTTTGTACATCAACTTCAATTTCAAAGGTTAATATTTTTAAAAGTATTTCTTTAATTTGAATATCTATTAATTTAGAATGAATTTCCAAGAGTGTTTGAGCAGACTTCGGTGTTAAATGTTTGACATGGGAATCATTTAATAGCTATGAACAATAAAAATGACAACATTTAAAATATCAAGGCTTAATAATAATAACGTTTATATTGACCTTAATTTGTTCTTTATTAAGACATTTAATGGTACTTGGAGAAAGACCTTCTAATGCTTCTGGATTTAAGTCTAATAATAGCTGCCATTGAGTGATGTTAATTCCTATGATAAAAAAATTAACTATCAATACTTCCTTAGAAAAAATATATACCTGTTGATTGCATATTAATTTCTACTATAAAAAAAAATTTAAAGTGGCCATTCGCTAAAAACATAAAATTAATTAATTGTTAGTTATCATACCAGAAAGAATGATTCCCATGCGCTCCACTTCAACCGTCTTCCATGAACTAGACTGTCCGATGACAGAAACTGCAATTGATGCAAGATTTTTTATACAAGGCATGTCACAAGTTTTAATGTCATTGAAAGCTGAACTTGTCTTCCAGAACAATTCTTTATTTGGCATAATTATTTTAAAAGTACGTGGTTGTAACTGACATAACAATGAACCAAATGCTGCCCACAAATGTGATGGAATATTTGCTTTTGATTTTGTCATGAATTGTTTTATAATTTCTTTACGCTAAAAACAAAATCATTTTACAAAATATCCAATAATAAGTTATATGTAATCATGGTTTTAACATTCAGAGATACATACAATATCGTTAGTTTTAACATATTTGGAAAGTAAATTAATCAGTTCCAATGACCAAGGGCTGGTTATGTCTAAATTTATTGTTTTTATGTCATCAATTGACAATCCAGACAATACAGAGCCATATGTGTGTAAAGCAGCCTATTATTTATTGAACATATAAACAGACATTTAAGTATAATAAATAATAAGAATGTAAATAATTACTGAAAAAGTACATCTCGTAAACAAATCTTAAAACACACCTTATCTTTTGTTTTTGACCAAATGTATCTGGCTAATTCAGTGTTGATATTAAATGACCCTAACAGATCTACACAATCCTCCAGTTCCTTGTCGCTCATAGAGTGTATAATCATACCTAAGTCCATGGAAGCAACTGATAAAGGTCCTAGCATTTTTAATGCTTCACAGCCAATCTAAAATATTAATATTATATACTGAAAAATATCATACACAGACCCAACACACACTTGCTTACTTGCACATTATAATTGAAAAATATTTCAAATGACCTTTTTTTTCTATCAGAAACATTTATTTTGGATATTTTATGTCCCCTCATTAAATTAGATGTCTGAATGGTTTCTAATGAAAGTGATTTATTCAAAGCTATATTATATTCATAATTTTTAACAGTATCATTAATCTTGTTTCTAATTACTGATGAATTGTGTTCAATGTCTTCCGATTGTTTGGAAATAACAGTAAGTAAAGAGGCAGACTCAGTATTTTCAGTTTTATTTTTATTCTCTTTTCCCGAAAAAAATGTTTTTAACAAATTGCTTGTTGTTGATAATTTACCAACATTATCTAAATCCGGAATTGGGATTAAAACAGTTGGTTTAGCAATTTTTGCTTTAGCTTCTGATGACTTGATAATTTCTTCATGCCGATGATTATCATTTATCGGACTAATCATTTGTAATTGATTTTGCATTGAGATCAAGTAGAAATTAATTAGATTTGATAATGAATTAATAAAATTCACATACTGGTCACCCAAAATTAACACACAACCCTAAGAAAATAATAAATAAAAATTTTACTTTAAAAGTTGTTATTTTATTCCTAATATACAACCTTGTAAAATGGAACATTGTTTGATATCCATTCAATTTCATCAGCATAACGAGTCTGTATAATATCAGCAGAATCTAAGCGGGACATTTTTGGCACAGAATTTAATTGATCGTAATCAAATACAATAAGAAGATCAGACAATGTTATCAAAGTATCACTTGACCAGTATTCAATATTTCTGAAATTAAAATATAATATAAATATTACAAATGTTGTACAAACTTTTTATTTTTAAATTTATTACCACTACTAATCTATAAGATAAAATAAAACCTTACTACTTATAAAAAATAAAAACAACTTAATAAGAATATTTATACACCTCAAATGATTATATACCTATGATTACCTAATACAACTAATAGATTTAATTTTTTTTTATCATTAAATAGTTTAACGAATAAACTTCAAAATTTGAAAATATTTAAATTTTAATTACATATTGGAGTCTCATAAGACTATGCTAATTGATAATATACTGATTTGTAGTTATTTCATAAGGTATGACATAATGGAACTATAAAACAAGTTTTTGTACAAAAATACATCAAAAATCAATATAAAAAAAAAAAAAACAACAAATTTTGAATTATTTGCAAAGGAACTTACATAGTATTAGCCCCAAATATATAATAGGAATAATTCAAGGTGGAGGAGGGATTTTCAAAATTATATATACAATGTTAGGTAAAAAATAAATAAAAAAAATACACAATGGATTATCAATATTGAAAAACAAAAATGTTAATAAAAAATTAATATTGTTAAAACATAAGTAGACAACTATGTATGAATTTTTAAATCTGTTTAATTTTTATAGAATGAAGACTAAGTATATTGTTAGTATAAATTAATGTAAAAAGATTCTCGATAGGAGGGTTTAAAACCCCAAATCCCTAGCGCATGAGCCTGCATATTATACTATATAAAAATATAGTAATTTGATTATATAATTTAATATAAAATATGATGGCTAAGAAAAATTAACAGTTTAATTATGAATATTATTTGGCTGACAGGCTAGTAATGGATTTTTCTATGATTTTAATGTTCTTATCAGGTGGTATAGACCGCTCAACTAATCGACAACATGTCACCTATTATTAAATTAATAAATATATATGTTAATATATTTTTCAAGGAAAAAGAGAAATAGTAGAAAATTTAAAGCACTCTATTGTACTCTACCAATATCATTGTTTAATAGTATTTGCCTTATTATAATTTTTTTTTTTTACATTTTACAAAATATATTCTATTTAATAATATAAATTAATTTTACCCAAAAGCTTTGATTATTAGATCAGCCCATTTTTCTCTAGATATTGAATCAACACAAAGTCTCCTATCAAATAAACCAGCTTCTACCATGAATTTGAATGCTTGTCCATCCACTAAACTTAAATATGTCAGAGGAATAAAATGAGTTAAATTTCCAAGTATATATAACTGTTCATAACTTAAACTGGATATATTTTTTTGCTGTTATGAATTAAAAAATATACGATTATAATAATATACACTTATTTAGTTTAATTCTTTAAACTTACAATACAAGCGATATACTTTTCAACCATTAATGATAATTTTTCAGGTTGAGATGCAATCATAAGTTCAGGAATACTTAATTTTCCAATAGCATGCAAGATATTATCTCTTAATTTTGAATTAAAAATAACATCAACAGAAAGAGTTGTTAAGACAAATCCTAAAATAGTGGTTACATAAACTTTAAGAATAATAAGATACAATAATAGATATTAATTTACCTGGTAATGCTTCTATTTCCCATGCTTCTAAATATAATGATGTGGTGGAATGTGCTGTAAGCTTTGCTTTCAACTTAAGATAATTAATAAATGCTTCAGCAACACAAATCTGTAAATTTTTTGGAAACACCTGTAAAAATATAAAAAATATAATGTTTATTTTAAAAATCAATTATTGTTTTTATTATTTAATATCAGTTCCAATAAAAATTAATAAATTATTTTAATTTTTATAAATTTAATTTGTTTTTATGTAATATAAAATCCTTACTTTTCCATTTCGTTTGAGATATGCATTATATTGGGATATTAAGACTAGAAAATTTGTACTACTTAATTTTTTTATGAAATTACATGTATACCCATTATAAAGGCCATTATTGAATATTGATTTCTTGCCAGTCCATTTGATAAGTAATTCATTACTTTCTAATATTACATTTAACTAAAAAAAATTTAATTTAAGTCATAGATTTTATAATTGCACATTTTGATATTAATATTTACCATTTGCTTAGGTAATTTGTCAATTCTATCAGTATATTTTGGATATAATTGTTTAAGAACATCGAATATGGGGCCAGGTATATCCAAAGGAGATAACTGTTCAAAAATTATATTATGTTTATTTTTAAGCATTTCTTCAATAAAGTTGACACTTTGAACTGAAAGAATTATTATTTTAAAAGGTTTTTTTTCAATCCTTCGATTCACAAAAAAAATAAAAATAAAAAAAAGTCATAAATAGTAAAATAACTGAATGCAAATTAATAATATTATATACCTACTGTATTTATCAGTTAATTTTACTAATAAAATATTTTTAAAACCATAATATAATAATATTTACCTGGATTTATAATATTTAAAAGATGAAGAGCCATCGGTAAATTGTGATTGTTAACTAAAGAAACCAAGTGAGATGCCACTTGATAACTTATATTTCCAGTATCAATATTTAATAGGCTTGAAACTGGAATGGCTTTTATCATATATTTCAAACCAAGTAGGAAATTTGGATCATTTTTATGAAAAGATAACATACTACTACAACCACTCAAATAAAAAGCCTAAATAAAAATGTGGCCAAATGTATAATTGTAAAAATGAACAAACTAATTAATTTACTTGTCTATCAGTAAGCATAAATGAATCAACAGCAATAAGTGATTGAACACTGGGTGGAGTAGAACAAAATTTTAAAAATGATGTAGCTGGTTGGGTATAAAATAATGGAAGATGCCGCAAATCATCAGATGTCCAACCATTTATGGCATTTATTTTTGAAGACAACCAATCACTAGCAATTTTATTGAAAATCTAAAAAGATGAGTAATAATATTTTTGATTAATAATTCTAATAATTAACACTTCTTTATTAAATAATTTTAATTTGTTTAACCTGGATAATTTAGATATAAATAAATATTGGTCAATACATTATTACTTGATAGTTATGAGAAATAATTATATCTATCTTTAAAAGAACTAGTACCAAGAGCTAGTTATACAATTCAAATTAATGACAACAGTGGACACTTAACATCATGCACATACTACTTAACAAAAAATTTAGAAATTTCAGTGTGTATGACCAAATGTGTACAACTAGGGTTACCATAAATTTATAAGGCGAAACCGGAAAAACACAAACACAATATCGAGTAATATACTTTTTATACAACTTTTAATATATTGAGAGAATCAGTGG